AAAAAACTTAATCTTTGAAATGTAGTGATCGTGTGTTATTTTTTAATTTCGTGATTGATGGACTCTTTTATTAATTAGTTGGTTTGAATCAATGTATAACAAATTTTGTTGTCAATCGTTATTAGAGTTTTTAAATTAACTGGTGTAAATGCATAAATAAAAAGAGACCTAAACTATGATTTTTTTTTTTTCATCTTTTGAAATCAAATAAATGACAAACACTATCCTTTAAAATAAATAATGATAATGATTATAACATTATATTATCAAAACCGAAAAGGTATATAAAATTCGTTTTCCTTTTCAAATCAATAATGAAGAAAAAAGTCTAATTGGTGAAAAGATGAAATATTTAAATCATGATTTTAAAAATTTGATATATACAAATCTTAGCATGCGGTTTCAAATAATTTAATAATATAATAATATGCTGAATGAATTATGATTCAGATTCATACAAAGAAAATTTTGAACAGATTTCTAAAATCATGATATATACAAATCATGATTTTCCTTGGAGATTTATTCGGATTTTCAAACTGTATGGAAATCACGATTTCTAAAATCATGATTTATTCAGATTTACATTCGGATTTCCAATTTGTTTGGAAAAATAGAAGATTTATTTAGATTTTGATTCCTTATTGTTTACCAATATAAAAGTATTTGATGTTATTAATAAAAAAAACAAAAAAATCTGATTTACTATTTTTAGGAGATAATTAATGAAAGTGGCGGGAAATTGTTCCTAAATTTGATTTATGTTAATCCTTATTATATATGATTAATATATATGTTAACATATAAGTAATATATATGTTACTTTCACGTAAATACTAATATATATATATATATATATATATATATATAAATTATTTCTAACAAATTAGAAATATGATTGATTCTTAAAAAGAATCTCTAATTGACAATTAATAATTAAATGTTTTATATTATATTTTAAATTTTTTTAAAAATATATATGGTAAGTGTATCTCTTAAATTAAGTGTATTAAGTATGGTAAGTGTATTTCTTAGATTTATTTTGATTTTGATTCCATATTTTTGATTGTATTCCTAAAAAAAAAATTGGATAAAAAAGGTATGCTAATAAATAGATATTTTGTTAATTTACTATTCTTAGACAATAATTAATGAAATTGGCGGGAAAGTATTTCTAAAAATGAATTATGTTAATCCTTATTATATATTAATAGATTACACATTAATTAAGCACCATTTAAGGCGAAAATGGTGAGATATAAAGGAAGGGAGATGTTACGGAATCATTATGTCGGAGTTTGCATCGTTAGATCAACTATCTCTGACGATTATACGATTATATGATGATCTAACAGTTACGAACCCGACAGATAGATGGACTATCTCGACGATTACATGATGATCTAACGGTAAGAAACCCGACGAAATGGTTACTGTATCAATGATCTGTAAATTCTTCTGTTTTTCTCTAAATTAGCACAAATTTAATTTTTTTTTTTAAAAAGAAAAAAACAAATACCTCTTGATAGTGGTGAGTCCTCTGCTACCCATAACCAAAGAGTCCAAATGCAAATCATCCACAGCTTCACAGAGCTTCTCTCTTGCATCTCCCCAGTACAACTTTGTCACCACTTTTATCTAATCAATCAAAACCCACAAATTTTCTACAATTTTTTTTTTCTCAAAATTAACAATTAAAACAAATTTTTACTTATTTTTCATAAAATAAGTATGTAATTTTTCATAAAATGCTACGATCCCGTTACGGAATCATTCTGTCGGAGTTTGTAACCGTTAAATCAACTTTCCCACGGTTACATGATGATCTAACGGTTACAAACCCCGACGGAATGGTTCCGTAACAGGACTGTAGCATCTCCCTGTATATATACCTCCTTCTGCCTAGTAGCTGTATCGAGCAAATCAAGCACATCAATATCAACCGGCACATCGTATTTTTTCATCACCTCCGGCTCACGAAACTCCATCAATGGAATCAAAGCTATTTTGCCCCAAAAAATAACCCAATAAATTAGACAAAAAAAAA